TAACTTGATCTCTATTTTTCGTAGGTCAAGTCCATTCATTTTTTTTAATAAAACAATTTCTATGCCGTTATAAGGGACTTTAGAAACTTCTGCTGCTTTCGCAAATATTATAAAATTATCAAAAGTATTAAAATTTAGTGAAACGGTGAAAATAAGATAAAAGCATCTTATTAAGGGAGAATTCACAAAGCATTGAAATTACTTCGATAATGATAACAATTAAAAAGAATAAACAAAATAGACTCGGTGAAATACAAGCCCTCCTAAACTTTATTTGAAGCTAGAAAATAATAATAATAATAATAATAATAATAATAATAACAACAATATTCAAACATATTTTATGCATCAAAATCGCCTACTGACATAAATATAATACTGCATACAAACAATGCATATACCGGGTATTATATCAGAATAGAACAGAACATACTGTACATAAGGACAATATGAGGAAAATAATAATAATAATAATAATAATAATAATAATAATAATAATGATAATAATAATAATAAAAACAGATTAAAGTTTGACAATTTTATTAAAACAACTTTCGTTTAATTCTATAAAGCTTTCTTTTGAATCAATTTTCTGATTTATGATTGACTTAGTTTCATTGGGATGGAAAGTATAAATTGTATGCAATCGTACAATTATAAATAACAACATAGAATTATTAGGTATGCACGTGAAAATGTGAAACATACAGTAATGCAATGCTGGGTAAAAAAAATCAAGTTGCTTTTTTATGATAAACTAGAAATGTGTCCATAGGACACGGATGCCCCCACACGCCACTGCTCTGTCAATCTTATGACTCTAGGTCAAATATTTTTTGGACTACATGTGCCACAAGTTGAAAACTAAAAATCAACAAAGGCCCATACTTCTGTTAAATTTGGTCGCAGCAAAAACTCCTTCCTTTACTACCATCTACACATTAAGGTTGTTCATCCCTGGAAGTTTAAGCAAAATCTGCCATCCGGTTTAAGAGGAGTTGCGTTCACAAAATTTCTACATAGCATATAGTGAAAAAATCAACAAAGGCCCATACTTCTGTTAAATTTGGTCGCAGCAAAAATTCCTTCCTTTACTACCATCTACACATTAAGGTTGTTCATCCCTGGAAGTTTAAGCAAAATCTGCCATCCGGTTTAAGAGGAGTTGCGTTCACAAAATTTTACATAGTATATAGTGAAAAAATCAACAAAGGGCCATAATTCTGTTAAATTTGGTCGCAGCAAAAATTCCTCCCTTTATTGCCATCTACACATTAAGGTTGTTCATCCCTGGAAGTTTAAGCAAAATCTGCCATCCGGTTTAAGAGGAGTTGCGTTCACAAAATTTCTACATAGTATATAGTGAAAAAATCAACAAAGGGCCATAATTCTGTTAAATTTGGTCGCAGCAAAAATTCCTCCCTTTACTGCCATCTACACATTAAGGTTGTTCATCCCTGGAAGTTTAAGCAAAATCTGCCATCCGGTTTAAGAGGAGTTGCGTTCACAAAATTTCTACATAGTATATAGTGAAAAAATCAACAAAGGGCCATAATTCTGTTAAATTTGGTCGCAGCAAAAATTCCTTCCTTTACTACCATCTACACATTAAGGTTGTTCATCCCTGGAAGTTTAAGCGAAATCTGCCATCCGGTTTAAGAGGAGTTGCGATCACAAGATTTCGGGACGTACGGACGGACGGACGGACGGACAGACGTACGGACGGACAGACAGACGGACGGACGGACACTCGGACGGACAAGTGCAACGCTATATGCTCCCACTCTGTGGGGCCATAAAACACTAAAATGTTGTTTATTCCATGCAGCATGATTCCAATTTTCCCATGCAATACATCAAAGATCGTAGCCATGAACTCATTACTATGGATATACTCATAATTTTAGTACTGATTATTGTAAACTTGATTTTCATTTCTGACACATTGATATATTAGTTAAATATGGAAACCTTAAAGAACGCCAGAAAACGACAAAACTGAAAAATGTTGCAGACTTGGTTTGATTCAACCTCTTGAAAGACAGTAATGGTAACTGCAAGCTACTGTAAAAGCAAAAATTCAGTTTAAACAAGTGCTTAACAATTTTAGAAACTTCCGTTTCGTATAAAAATATTAAAAAATATCTGCTCGTCTCATCCACTATCCTCTAGAAATAGCAAAACAACAAAATCTATGAGTAAAGAATTAAACTTCTTCCGCAGAGGTAGCCTATCGGGTTCTTTGAAGAATTCCATCTAATATTATTAACAAGATTTTGTTGAACCGAATCTACAACTCTGACATGGGGCATGGGGGTTCCGTGATTTTTAGCGTATGAACACATTTGCGGATGTTCGTTAATTCAACATTTCACTATTTTCGTGTTTAAATGTTGAACTCTACTAAAGCCGGTGCTAGCTTGGTTTGATTGGGTGGTAGCTTACAGTTACCAGTATTGTCCATGACCAGATCAAACCGAACTTACAGCATTGTCAATTTTGCCGTATTGTGCGTTCGTTAAAGATGATGTTTTTTTATATTTTGATATGAAATGAGATCACAAAGCAAATCAGTGTTTACTTATTTTGATAAAAAAGGCAAGTTATTAACAGCATGTGATAATTAACAACATTCCATGTCATACTATCATTGATAAATTGTGCCTATACACTGTATACAGCGATGTTTTAATGGTGCCTACTTGATAGTGCCCTATACCGGCAAATAACCATGTGGCAGATAGAATCACGATAGTTCAATCATCTCATTTTTTCTGCTATGGACATTTGTTCCGATGTTATTTGTAGAGACTAGCTTGACTCAATTATGATATAATGTTATTTGTTAGAGTTTATTAGTAGTAGTCAAATTGTCTAAAACCCAACTATGATATGATCAACCTTTTTGCTGTTATCAGTATGTCCCGTATTTTATTGACATTTGAAAATTCCATTGCATCACGTGCCATATTATTTGCATTTTTAGTACATACATATATAACGTCAAGCAGAACAAAAATGTTGTTTGGTCTTATTTTAGTAACATGTGTGTAATTTTGTAGCATCAGACAACATAGAGACGTACAATAAAAAAATCAAATTCGTTACAAATTGCCAGTCTCCAAAGAACGCCCGAAACGGCAAAATTACAATAATTAAAATCTGGGTTGGATTAAAATTGTTTATAGACGGCAGTTGTAAGTGCAAACTATCATCCATGCTCCACATCACCGGCTGAATTAGTATTCAACATGAAAAAATTTTGAATTTAAAAACATCCGCAGATATGTTCAAATGGCGGTAATAATGGAACATTCAGCTTGTTTTCATTCAGCTTCTTTCATAAAATTGAGAGCGACAACAAATTAAACACATAAAAACATTTAAACCCGTTACGTAAATTGTTAATAGATTATTTTATAACCTATTAGTTCCCGTCTAGAAATGTCTCATTAACAATTCATATTTGTAAGTTCAAGTTTCGGTCACATCTGAGTTATCTTGCCTCAGGAGGCAAAGAAATACGAACTCTATCTGTCTACACTACATTACACTAAATTACGTACGTACATTCTGGTGTATTTATTGAAGTTATTTAGTCGTTCAACTATTAGAACGGGTCTTGTTCTATTTTTTTAATATTTGGTTGGAATTAACCTTGCACCAATATAAAATAGGTCATATGGCAACTTTTCAGATTTACTGATGGTGGAATACCTCAGTCGAACCACCGACATTCCGTAAGATACTTAATTGACCACATGTTTTAGTTTGGAAAAGTTCAATTATTATTTAAGAGATCTCAATATCAATATACACAAATTAAGCTACCGACAATATAAAGGCTTTTTCAGGCTGGCCTAGCTCCTTTCTGGTGACATAGGCTCTTTCGGTTACAGTAGAGTAAAGACTATAGAATATAGCTAAAGAATATAAACGACAGCCTGAGTTTGTTGATTCATTGATGTTCTTTTCAAATCAAACAAGATTACAGTAAACATGTATTTGTCTAGGGAAGAAATACATTTATTATGTGATTTCACACTGTACTGAATGAATTTGGACCCGTAGGCAGTCAGAGAAATCATATTAGACTCACCTGACTGCTTGTCTAAAATGATTTCTATTATTCTGTAGCTGTCTAAATATATTCACGTTTTAGATAATTGTATGTTTAATAGTCTATAAAATAAATTGTTTCAAATTGATTATGAAATAATAAAATTGTAAAGGTTAATGCTCTGTAAATACACTAAATGTAAAACAATCAATGCAAATTACAATTGATTAATTCATATTTATATGGACCATGCATACTTACAGTTTTAGTCTAAAAAATAGAGAATTTTATAAACATTGCTGAAATAAACATAATACAGAAGAAGTAAAAGTGGAAGAGTATAAGTCATACATTTATTTTGACATGTTATATGGCCAAATTTAATTAGTTGTAAACTTATATAACCCGAGCCAAATATATAAATCTTTCAAACGCTTAATGATTTTTAAAAGAAGCCATGCCGTGCACAATTACTTAACTATTAATCTTACAACATCAACATCATTAATAGAATATTTGTTAATAGCTTGAAGTTTATTTAAAACAAACACAATACCATTAATAAGTTAAGTTTTTAGGGGGAGCGGTGGCCTAGTGGTTAAGTTGTCTGCCTCTCAACCCAGGGATCATGGAGTCCTAATTTTAGAGACATTGAAATATAAGTTGCAAGAACTTGTTACGCAATCGAGCTTAAACAAATATGTTTAAACCAATAAGTTTGAATAATTCCTAGCAATAAGCTCTATAAAACAAAGCTGTTAAGGAGTTTAGAAAAAAATGGGTTTAAATGATAAAATGAAGGAAGGAAAGACGTTGGTCTCAAGTCCTACGGGTACAAGAGAAACACAACCATAAAGGATTGACAAGCACAGGTCTAGTCTAGATGAATAAATATACTTTAAAATCTAGTCGATCTAAAATGGCAGAATCTGAAACTTACAGCATTTAATATCACTCGTCTGAAGTCGTCGGCCGTCATACTTGAGTTGGTTGCAGGTTCTTTTTTACAATCTTGCACGTGGGTCTGGAGATAATGTCGTAAAATACCAACTACGTCACTCATCAATCCTTGCTCCAGTCGTGATTTGTTCCCCTTGAATATTTCTTTAATAATATGAAACGAAAATAAAAAAAAACTTCTCAAAGCTGATAAATCTAGGCGCTGTATGACAATCTTTGAAATCTCTTCGATTTAGCAATTTCCATTAAAGTGGACGAGTCTACAATGGGCACATTTTCCATCAGTAATTCAAATACATGTATTGATAAAACAATAGAAATGTATAATTTGGTAATTCTTATAAAATGCTGTTTGAAAAGAAAAATATTTTGATAAAGTTCATAGTGATTCAGAATGAACATTTATCTGACGGATAATAATATTTTGTTTTAGGACACTTTATTATCTGCTATATAAATGTAGTATATCAGATCTGTATCTCAAGCTTGCCATTATTATGTGTATATCTTGATGTTTGTTTATGTCTAGCCACTATCTATGTATTATTTATGTATTTTGGTTGCATACCATGTACCTCCCAATTCCTACCACTATGCCAGGCGCCAGGCGGATAGAAATCGGTAACCATTCATTTTAACTACCTCGCGGCTGACGAAGCGGCCATTTCGGAACGAGTCCCACGAGAAACATTCATCCTTCAATTAACGCTCCCCGTGGGGCTCGAACCTTCGACCTCCCGATCCGAAGGCGGACGCCTTAACCACTAGGCCAACGGTACCGGTATATAAATGTATGTAATATCGGATCCTGTATCTCACACTTGCCAATATTTTCTATGTATAATTCTTTGATGGTTTGTTTTTATGTCTAGTCTACTATCTATGTAATTATTTATTGTATTACAGACTTTCATTATAAACCAATTCACTTTAAATTCAGTTGAAATAGACTTACATATCATTTTTGAATGATAAATCAGTCAGTGGATGAAAATGTTCTTTCCAAAGGGTGTTTGAAAATCAGACGTTTAGATATGCAAATTTCCTTCAATCATGTTCAAAACTTTGGAACAATCTTTACAATTCTATGATGTATAGAAGTATCCATTTCCAGCAGAATAATCAATAAATAATCAATGTTAAATCTCGGGGATTTATTTTTGGTTTGAAAATAATATTAGAGACAAAATAAACATAACATAGATAAAATGCATATTAAACATACCATTCAATCCTTTAGGAAAGTTGTCCGAATTGAGAAGTTGTAAACCATAGATCTTTGCCATACCCTGAATCTCGTCCGATATATCCGCAAAATCCTAATTTAAATGTCAAATTTAAAATTAAAAGCTACAAAAAACGTGATATCATAGTTTCTTGATTGTTGAGGAAATATTGATTTTAGTAAGAAATGTAATGTATAGAAAGATTGGTATACACACGGTATCAAACTCTGGAAATACAGAAAGATTCCTTCTCTGACCTTTTATTTTAATATCAAAAGATTCAATAACCAAAATTATTAAGCTTTTGTCTTTTTTTAACAAATAGTTGGTGGCAATTTCTTTATTTTAAATGCACTCATCTGATGATTAGAATTAGACAGGTAAGTGTCCTATAGAGATCTATCCAACGCTTTTCTCCTTTTACTTCCTCAATCTTCTACATGTAAAATCACCTCTAAAGAATTCAACGAAGTTGTCATTTGGCGCGACTAAAAGAAAAGATCAAATTCTTGGTCCCAGTAAAATAGGTAAAGGACAAATAAATAAACACACGAAATATCAATTCACAAAGACTATTAATTCTAAAACTCATATATCCTGGTATATAGAAGAAAAAAAAGAACAAATGATATTTTACTGTTTGCAAATTTATTGATTGCAACTTAAGATGCTGTTTTGAAACAATACAACCCTATGGACTTGTTTCATGAACATTTATTTATAATACAAACTGTAGTAGGCCTATATTCGATCAATTAAAAACATTAAACGACTTACCAGATATGTGATAAACCATTTGATAGAATGATGAAGGAGATGAAGTTTATGTGATACCTGAAAATAATGAAAATGGCTTAGATTTATAAACCATTTTAATTTTAATGACGCTTATCTCAATATGTCGTACATTACAGAATGATGAGAAGATGGTTTTCGAATAACGTTTTTATCTTTATTTAAAAGCTCTAAATCATTCTGAAAATTGAACGAAAACATTCCCAAACAAAATGATTATTATTAGTAATACTTATTGGATTATATAATTTTGTTATATGTAGATATATAAATAAAAACAAACCAATCAGTACAGTGTTTAAGACAGACAACTATCATAAGTGAACTGTAAAAATACAAATATTAACAATGTAAAAATGTAGATACGAAATGATATTATAAAGTTAAGTATTCAAACGTGCATGTCATTTTTGGTAATGATACATTAGTATTTTCTGTATCTAAGCAACAACCTTATATTTAATTAATAACAACAAAATGTAAGAAGTGTTGTTGTTTTTTTCAATCAAAGAACATTTTTATTTCACCGTACATACAAGTTAATTGTGCATTGAACTTGTTTTGACAAGCAAAACATCGTTTTAAAAAAGATGGCGTAAAATTTAAATTATTATTTTGAAAAATTTCTGAAAGTGAATGATTTGAAGGTATTTCAGACACAAAACAAGTTACCGCTAGCAAAACTGTTTTCACAACATCTCTTTTCATTGAGTGAAGTATAAAAGTGTCCATCTGTGATTCCCTCAATGTGGTCAACGTTTGCTGTAGCTGTGGATTCTCGTACTCTCTATGACCATTACCATTCTTTGTACCATTAATGTTCTTCCCAGTATCAGCATAGCTTGACGACAGATTAGATGGCAGTCGTATTGGGGACACAAATATTCCCATTCCACCAAGAGCAAGAACGGGGGAGAAATCGTCTGAAATTTTTCGTAGTAACCCTTCATTTAATTTACACCTGTTTTTTTATTGATTGTTTGATAAAAAAATGAATTTTGCTTGTTCATTAAAAAAGGTACCTGAATTGTGAAAATTGTTTTCTTTGATTTCTAAAAGGGCAATATTTATATTGCTTTCGAAAAAATTATGAAAACGTACTAATTTTGCATCTGGACTCACAACTGATAATATTTAGAACACATTATTAATACTGTTAATGAACCACGAATCTAACCTTGCGACAGAAAGGCAACCTTTGGCCATTTCAGAAATTTTACAATAGCTGCAATGCCCTTCGACAGAGTTTGAGGATCCGGTAAAATCGGCATTGTTCGGTTAGCCTCGGTAATAGTCTCATCAGATGACGTCACAAAAAGTGTCTGGTGTAATATGACGTAATCAGTTGATGTAAAAACGTCAATTTGAGGACCTATTGCAACTGCAATGTGTGTATCCTCAAATGTTTTTCTTGCTGTAAAAAAGAAATGATTTTTGAAATTGGCATAATTTAAATGTCATTGTTCACTTTTGTTAATATATATTACATTTTAAAGGTAAAAACATTAGACACATTATAAATATGTTTTACATCTTAAGGGGGAAAACTGAGTATAAATACAATAGTAACTGAAATGCATTATACTAGTATATGATAAATATGTACTCAATAACTAATTGTAATTATGACTTCACAAACAAATACATATCGTGTACAGTATATGAATAAATGAAATGTGGTTTAATAAAAGCAATCTATTACTATTAAAAGCTTGTTTGATTCGCTCATCTTATAGGTTGAATAATCCTCAAAGCAGTATCAAATAAATCTGAATATAATTTAGAGTACCTTCTTTAAGGCTTTCGTATACTGACGTTCCATCTGTGGTGTCGTATTCGAGACTTGTGAAGTTAATTCTGCAGTAACTATCCTCACCGTTACCAAGAACTTCAGCAATTTGTACGTATTCATTAATATTCACTTTGCCCCTATGACCCACAACGACTGGAAAAATAAATTTACTTTTCTGTTTATCAGACAAAGAATTAAGAAAAGCGTGACCTTATGTGAATTGAAATTTCCTAGAGGAGAACAAAAATTTAGGTGTTAGTATATTTAATTATATTTAATTTTCCTATGTTAAATAATATAAACTAGAGCGTGAATAAAGTAATTCCTTGAACCAAAAATTGTCAAAATCAATTTAGAAATAATCATGAAAATGTTAAACAAAACCACCTACTAAATATTACATAATTAATATATTGGCAATTATCTAATCTAATTGTTTAGATTTCCTAGCAATCTAATAATCATTTAGGAGACTTTATACACTATTAACAATTCAGAAAATCATCATCTACAACCAAATATAGAAGATGATATAACGCAAGTAATGGCAGCTGCATTATTTCAGGAAATAATTATACAACAAGGTTATGTTTACTGGATTTGTAAAATTTGATTGATATAAATACAGGGTAACTAATTTGTTCTATATTAATTTCTTGCAGATTGACTTATGCGCATTTTCTTATAATATTTCACACACGTTTTACAAATTTAAATTTTAAAGGGGAGATTTATCCTTTAAAAATAAGATCACAATTTAGTAGGGATTTACGAGGGAAAAGAATTTTTAGAAAAAATTTTCATAACATAAAATTGTTAGAATGATTGTTATTGATTGCTATTAATTTTAATATCATCGCATTGAGTATATAATTATATCAATGTATTAGCAGCTATATGCATTGAAATACGGCATGAAATGACACTTATATAGATATATTTTTTATATAATCAATTACATATAAATGCATGTATATTGATGTTGTCTTATTTCATTCATTCAAGGATGTTTCATTTGAAAAAAATATAAATCAATAAACAAAGCAACATTAATATTATTTTAGATAAATAAATACAGATCTTTTTTATAACCCGATATTACATCAAATGTCATTTTGATTTTAATTGTCGTTCTTACCTGCATTTAACGTTGTTTCTGAGGCGGTGACCAAACCAAAGCATGCAAGACTAACAATGAAGCACAACATCTTGAATCAATGAACACAATTTTAATTTCCCATATCGATGACAATAGTGCAACAATTCAATTTAACCCCAAATATTTTCACAATTCTCCAGTACTTAGTTACTCTTCCAATTTTCTCGGAATTATTGCGCACCAAAAAAATAGTTCCAATGATGTAGATCACAATGCGATCACCACACCCACATCATGTGTCATTGAATTAATCATTGTTCTCAATTAGTTTCTACTTATGTCCAGTTTTTAACTACAATTTACTGCCCTATACTCACTATTAATTTACAATATTTGTCAACTGCCAAACAAACACATCATTTTTATCATGACGACTGCAATTGTTTGAAATAGCTTTGTTTCCAGTGATAAAATGGAATCAGTCTTTACGAGCTCATATAAAATAACGAACGCCAAATTCCACTGTATCCCTTTAATTATACAATATCATTTTCCCGTGTGTTTGTACAATAGCCTGGCAACCAATTTAGATATTGTTGGGGAATCTAGCCCCCAGGGGATCTAAAAATTTGGTAAAAACCCAAAAAACCTTTGTTGCAGTTCCAAGGTTATATACAGTTCTTTCGTTACCGGCGACCCCCCGTGACATTTTTTTTTATAAAGAAATGAATTTTTGATACATCGTATCAAAAGTTAATTAATTAATGGGGAAAAATTTGATTACTTTTTCTATGTGACGTAAAATTGGGTTTTTTACTCGGGTAAAAACGAGAAAAATTTGAAAGGGGGAAAAAGAAAAATTTTGGTTTTTTTTTGGTTTCCCCGGTGTGATTAAAAGGGATTTTAGTTTTCAACGGGGGGGAGAATTGAATAGGGTAAGATTAAATTTTTTAGGGTTTTTTGAAAATAATTTAAAATATTCTTCTTTTTTCAATTTTTAGGGATTGCTACGTTGGTGTAAGAAAAATTTTTTTTGCTGGGAAGCTTTTTTTTTAAATTGTTGGGAATTTTACATTTTAAATTTTTTCTTTAATTTTCTAAAGTCCAATAGATTTTTTTTAATCTGTGTATTTTAATTATTGTTTTGTTTATCATTTTGTAATAAATATGGTAGAATTTGTATGTTGATATAACGAATTAAACCAAAAAAAGCATTCACAAGTTATTACAATTAATTTTATTATATACATTTTTTAAATTGTTTTTGTTTTTCTTCGTAAAACAGTCAAGATACATTTGTGTCAAAAATTATGAAATTGTTTATAATCAACGATCATTGTTTTAAATTTTAAGACTGGATAAAAAAGCATTGTATTAAAATATTTGTAGGATTATGTAAAATATAACCATAAATTATTAAGATGAAAAATCAATAGAAATATAATATTCTTAAGAAATGTGCCTAGAAATATAGTACTACATTAAATAATTTACAAAGCCCTCTTTATTACTTAATAATTGTTAGTTTAGTACCAAATAATCACTTACTTGTACTTCAGTAATAATACATGTATCTGGAACATATAATTATACTTATTGACTCGTAAAATACCCACATAATTATACGACTTTATCGTCAGAAATATTATCGACACAAAAGACGTTCGAAATAATGTACTAAAATGTCCCACATTTTGTTATTTCAAAAATATTTATTTTCCGTTTGTTTTGAATTTTTCATTTTTTGAACAGCAAGACTAGTGTTACTTGTTCTCGTAACTATATAAACTATCCATATGTAACCTTTCCGATTAATCGATTCACCGCTGTTTAATCTCCTTTTTTTAAAATTTATACTTTGAAATAATGTATTTGTAAAGAATCATTTTAGCTTCTGATTTGTGTTAGATATATTTGTCCTTATTCTATCATAATAGTAATAGTTAAATATAAAATTTGAATTTGATGTTTCATATTAGTTCCATAATTCTGCCATTTTTGTACGCTAATTGATTGATTACTAAGATGATTTTAGATACTATTTGGTGAAAAGTAAACTTTTATTATATATGTATATAAGTATATTATTATATATACTAGTATTATGTATATTACTTGCATACATGTATATATTATCATGATAATGATAATGAGCTATATTCTTAAATCTTAAACTAATCTTTAATGTTCTGTTTAATTAAAGAGTGAGACGGGGCAGGTTTGATAGAATATTTGTCCAACATTTGTATGTGTGTTTTTATATTTTCCCTTCTAAATATGGTACCGAAAGATAATTTGTACAATAGATTAGAAAAATATGATTCATATGGGTCTGATCTGTCCGTTAATGTATAACATATAACTTTTGTCATGCATTTATGGCATAGAAATTCATAATATAAATGTGTACTTTATCATATAACATATAACTTTTGTCATGTATATAAGACATAGATTTTTATAATGATCACGGTGCTAAGGGCACAACAAAAAGGTTCAAACAAACCGAGCCTGGACGACACTTATTCAAGGGTTCAATATCTCTGTTCTAAATAAATAAATAAAAAAAAATCAAATGTATGTTGGGAAGTTTGTAGAAGATCAATATTATATTGAAAATTTGTTTAAAAATATCCTTTTATTCCAAGCAAACATTAAGTATATTTAAACTTATATAGAATATCCATTTTATTTTAATAATCCATTTTGTAGATAGTTGTAATTTATCTGGGTTCTAATTTAAAAAATTTTAAGCTTTTAAATTATATAATTTATTCATAAATGATTGAAGGTAGGATAGTTTGGTTTTGGTGTAATCCCATTATATCTGCATCAGGCAAGTGGTTAGTGCAGATATATGTACACATATAAATGATTTATATATCACCAGAGATTTATAAAATTGAACGCTTCTGTTATTTGAATACTCGAACCGTACGCTTACACCGACAGCCGCCTCTGCGACCTTGTTAAGTAATAAGATCATATGTCGTTTGGAACTGAGAAATGGACATTTTAATGTAATGATTCATCTGATTCTCACTATTATATTACAGGATAAAGAAGACGAAACTCATTTTAAAAGGTAGTTCTCGACATCGTTTATAAAACAGATAGTTCTCCAAATCTCATATAAAAATACGATATCACGTGATATCGCGGATAAAATACGAATAATAGGCCACACAGCGCTTTTCAAAGAATATCGCCTAATATTTAACCGTAGTACGCCACATCGTATAGACGATATTCACTCATACCTCTTATAGCGATATTTCTTTAAATCACAAATGATAGTAAAACATATCTCAGTAAGACATGTCTCATATACAAACTAAAATACGCCATAACGTGTCTAAAAACGATCGTTCGCAATATTGCATAGTTACGACGAATGTATACATTTTGTATATTGCACAAAAAGGTATTATGCCATATTTCGTGTAAAAACAGTAGTCTGCTATATTGCATATTTACTAAAATAGTACATGTACGCAATATTTCATTTACAAAACGATAGATCGCTACATTGTGTAAATACATACGACAGGTCGCCATATTGCATATAAATGACAGTTCTCTAAATTGCATATAAGGGGCGTGGACATATTTGAACTATGGCCCCTTTCAAATTTATAAATAATACATACATGATGTTTTGAAGGCAGTGAAAACTTTTGATATTTCTCTGTCATTGCATTTCTGTAGGAAATGATCAGTATTTTTTTTATCCGAGACTAAGCAGTTTGGTAGCTTTTTATGTATGCATTTTTACGTGACTCTCAGAATTGAAGTTAAAAAGTTTGAAGCTTTGACAGTTGGCGACAAACATTTAAAAACTTTGGATAATATTTTTGTGAAAAATCTAAACGTATGACTGACAGTTGATTGCCCGTGTGTTAGTGATTTTTTATATTGAAATCGGGTAAATTCTGGATTATCCTGCACCTTCATCAAGATGCCCATATTAGTATATTTAAGGTGTGATTTTGTAGGGTGGGGGTAAATATAAATTGCTGTCAGTCTGTTTCTTTAGGAGGAATGCATGCAAACTGTAATTTCTTTCAATATATGTCATATATCCTTGAATAATGCTGTGCAACCTGTTATCTACCAGCATAATAGATTTCGAAATTTTTTGGAAATGTGTTTCTGGGGCACACTGAAACTGCTCATTTTAGTTCCCCTGCCCCCTTATTTGAACGATAGAACGCCATATTGCTGTTAAGACGAGATTGTACGCCTGTTCGCCACATCGCAAGACTGATCCAAATTGCTTAAAAGATACGCTATGTTGTTTATTTTAAAAAGGAAAACGTTTATAATAAATTGATGGCAATGCAATTTGTTAGAGATCTCGGTTGATAAGATGATGTAAAAATGTCAAATGCATCGACCTCGTCGTTTCGCTGTCCAGTATATGTTTGTTTTCAATAAAATATCAAAAAAACGTCATATTTGGTATGCGAACTAGCATTTAGTTTTTCAAACAATAAAATTTTAATTCAGTTAAATCTGAGACATCTTTTAATCAAATTATTGGGTTATGAAAATAAGCTGGTTATATTTTCATGTTTACTTTTTTGACACTTTTTTTCAATTATCATTTTTCGGTCATCCAAATGTCATAAAATATGATTAATGGATGCTCGGCATTAGAGTTTTCTAATTTGGGTTGATAAATTGGATTACACCT